GCCTATGGTAGCTCTCAGGCCTTCACCAAATCCTGGATAAACATTCATGATTCCCTTATGGCCTGGCTTCCAAACCCTCTTGAGTTGTTTTCTGGCTGGTTAAACATCTTGTTAAAGTGTGATACTCAGAATGAATACAACACTCTAGGTGTCTGAGACTAGTTTCAGTTAACATGGGCTGCTAAGAAGAAATATTAGCAAATGTCTTATACTTCTGTTTTTGTGTTTTGGCAAAGATTAAATGTTTAAAAGTTCTTCCCTATGCCTGGATTGGGGGTGTTTCCACTTGAAAGTGTTGTTTAAATCTGTAATTTCACAAATCTTTCATTTTGCAAGCCAGCAGCAACAAGCCGGCAGGAAATAATGGAACTTAGGAAAAGTAAACACATTCTATTTGCTAATGGTCACTAAGCATTTGTAACCGAGGCAAGCTTATTACAGAAAGGAACAGTTAGCTGAAGTGTAAACAGAGTATTTTAAAACCCCAGTACTTCCCTTGCATATTAAAATCAGCTAAGAGAAATCAACTATTAGCTGGCTCATAACAAAGGGATTCGATTATACTATCTAGCTTTTGTCAGTGGAACTGTCTACCCTGACTGGGTTCTTTCTACTCATTAACTCCTTGTTGTCCGTGAGCAGGAGACAGGGGCTTCCACGTCAGAAGTGTGTGTGAATCGTGTGTCTTCCTCATTTCCTGCCAGAGCTCAGGTACCCCCCGCTGAGGGACAGCAACCGGCAAACCCAAGGTGTTCAGCTCATGCCCTTCACCACAGAAACCCAACTGACCAATTTGTCCACAGCTCTTTCCTATTCAGGCGTTTGGACTTAGTCAAAAGTTTGGGAATAAAGGAGCCTTGTGAACAGAATATGACCATCCTTATACTTGTTTCTGACTTCGGAGGAAAAATGTCCAGTAGCCCTCATAATTCCAAATGCGTTGACCAGGGTTACACAGCTCACATTGATTATGGAGACCCATGAGAATGACACTAAATTCAGGAGCTTGGGGTTCAATCTGCTTAGTATCTATACTCTAACCAAACCAGTTGCCATGACAACTTCATGTGTGTCAGAGTAGAACTGTGCATCCCTAGGGTGATCGATAGCTGATTTTTCAGAAATATATTGTCAGGGCTTTTGTCCAAGGTGCCTCTGGATGGATTTGAACCACAGACCTTTCTGGTTAGTAGCCTTGTACTGAACCATTCACACCACCCAGGGACTCCTGTGGGCGGATTGTAGGTAATTTTTTTCCCATTTATTCCTAGTTACTCTACAATGAAAGTCTATCTACCTGTCTATCTATACTACTAAAGGCTACTAGCCATAGCACTATTTATTAAAAAAATTACAGGCACTTTTTTCCCTGTTTGCACTATTATTCATGGATATATTTGCAGCACACATAAATACATAGGTAGAAATATCCCGTTAGATCTCTATCTACTCATCCACCCCTGTTCAGCTGGAATGTCCATCCAGGTCTACTCACTGATCGTTATTCCTGTTATTGCAGGACTGTGTATATATAACAGTATTCACCTTTGTTGCCTTCAATTCTTGTGTTCCTGTTTCCTCCACTGCCTTTATCACTTTGTGCTGACCTTTCCCTTACTCTCTGGTAGCATAGTGGCTAAGGCACTTCACTGCTAACCAGAAGGCTGGTGGTTCAAACCCACCAGCCACTCCTCGGAAGGAAGATGGGGCAATCTACTTCCGTAGTGATACTGCCTCGGAAACCCAAGGAGGGGTCGCTATGAGTTGGGTCCGACTCGAGGGTACATAACAACAACAACAACTCCCTTACTGTATACTGCCTTTCTCTTCACCCAAGTATGTCTCTACCCTTCTTTCCCCTCCTACCTCTGCTTTTGAACACAGCTTTTGAAGAAATTATAGATAGAAAACTTACGGAAGATATAATTTGGGAAATGACACAGGAAATAGAGACAAACAGTTCTTCCAAGATAATTTAGCAAAAATTCATCTGCAAGGAGTGGGCATGGTAATGTGTGGGCCAGAATGGATTTGATTGATGACCCAGGTGCACCCATCCACAATGACCAAGCCCTCTGTTTAATGTTCTCATTAGATTTGCCATGCTGTACTTTGCACACATATCCTTTGAACGGAGTTCAGCCTGGGGGCACCGGATCTTTTTCATGCTGTAAGCTTAGGGGACAAGTTCTTCCTCTTTATTCCCCTCTCATGAGCGAGATATAGCACTGGGATTCAGTCACTTTATAGGGGTGGTATTTTCACTCACACAGTCTTTTAGGGTCTATAGGGAAATAGAGCCCCTAATAAAATGTGTCTCAGTCTGGGTTCTCTAGAAGAGTAAAATCAGTGAGACATATATAGAGGTCTAGAGAGATTTACTTCACGGAAATGGTTTACACAATTGTGGAGCTGGCATGTCATGAATCTTTAGGTCAAACTGCAGGCTGGAGACCTCTGCTGGCTCATGGGATTGGGGGGGGGGGGGCTGGCCAATCTGAAGTCCTTAGGCCAGGCAGTAGGCTGGAGACTTCCATAGGTTTCCATCCCTGGAACTGGAGGTCAGGAAACAAGCAGAGTATAGTCAAGAAAGAGTGAGCTTTTCTAGAACATCCATTCATATACTGGAGGCAGGCCACACCCTTAAGAAAATGCCCCTTTCAACTGATTGGGGCATTTCACATCATGGAAAAGCAAGTAGTCTAATGTCTGCCAAAGCACTGAGGATCATAGCATAGACAAGTCAATACACAACATTAACTACCCCTGATGTTTTCCACTAGGAAAGTTTATATAATGTGGAAAGTTGTAGGTAAAATCTTAGAGTTGAGGAACAGTCAGTAATAGGATGAACAGTACTTGTCCAAGACTCTAAAACTTCAACTTCCTAGCTCTACTTGAATCTCATGCTGAGGGGCAACATCTCTTGGAACTGGGGAAGCTCTGGCCAGAGACATGATGGAACACATGATGGCTGCCAGCTACACAAATGTCCTCCTTCTAAAAGATGATGCCTTGCTCCCATAAAATTTATCGATTGTCCACTTACATTTTAATATCTGTGTATGGATGGATAGCTCTGGTAGCATAGTGGCTAAGGCACTTGATTGCTAACCAGAAGGCTGGCGGTTCAAACCCACTAGCCACTCCTCGAAAGGAAGATGGGGCAATCTACTTCTGTAGTGATACTGCCTCGGAAACCCAAGGAGGGGTCGCTATGAGTTGGGTCCAATTTGATGGCAAACAACAACAACAACAACATGGATGGATATATACGTTGCAAAGTACTGAAGCAACAAAATTAGAGAAATGTTGAATATTTCTGACATGCTTAGAATGACAAGAGATGTGAAAGTAACTCAGATTTACATTTCCTTTTACAAAACCAAAGGAGCTCTGGTGGCGTAGTGGATAAAGCACTTGGCTGCTAACCAAAGGTCAGCGGTTTAAACCCACCAGCCACTCAGTGGAAGGAAGGTGGGGTTATCTACTTCTATAAAGATTTATAGCCTTGGAAACCCAATGGGGGTCACTTTGAGTCAGAACTCTCTCAACGGCAGTGAATTTGGTTTTACAAAACCAGGGAATGTGGTTCAACCACTGAAGGATTCTAATCTGAAGATATAAAGTAGGAAGCAAATTACTATTGTGCTTCCAGGTAAGAAAAATAAAGTTAGGAAAGATCTGCCTTTGAATAGTTGCATATCTAAATGATTTCTCTTTCCAGTGCTAAGCACATATCTGACAGTTAACAATGATGAAGATAAGCATTTATATAGCACCCACTCTGTGCTAGGCACTATCTGAAGTGCTCCATATATTCTTTGAATCCTCCTACAACACTAAGGAGGTTGTTATCCCTATTTTAAAGATAAAGACACTGAAGGACATAATAGATGCTCAATAAATATTTGGTGATTGAAACACATGACTGGACCATTGGCAATCATTTAATTTTCTTTTTGCCCTTAATAGCTCATTCATTCCTACTCCTAAACTTCTTTCACAGTTAATGTTATAAATTTGTTCTTCAAAACTGGCAGAACCATTACTACAAAGACTGAGAAGAACAGAACACTCTGGTTAATATAATTAGACTCTAAATCAAACCATTAGAACAGAAACCATTTGGATTTGTGGACAATCTCAAAAGACCATGACTCCAGAGTCCATCTCTCCCACCAGCTGTCTGCCTCCACCAAAAATATAAATAAGGAGATACGAATGCCACCTGTTTTCCCGTAGGGACATCAGTGAGTTGATGATTAAAAACAAACATATATTATGAAAAAACACATGAAATTGCTGATTTTGAAGATCAAAAATGGTGAAATATCAACAATTTCATTTGGCTAGACCTGACAGATTCTGCCATATTTTAATGCAGCGTGACTGTAGAATTTAATTATTAAACTAGTGGTGAGTAAAAATGGGAACTGTTCCTGGAATTTAAGGAAGCTGGGAGTATATGAATATAATACTATCTGTTAACCTGTCTGCCAAAGCTGCCGCACTGTTCTACACACGGTAAAAACATCAACTAAACCAATTGCCCTCATATGTTCCCCAGTGGAACTGTGCTCTATAGGGTTTTCAACAGATGATTTTTCAGAAGTGGATTGCCAGTGCTTTCTTCTGATATATGGTGGTCCACGCCCAGAAAATAACTATAGAAGTTTACTTGTTAGAAAATAATAAACAAGTAGGCTGTAGTAGACCCACCCTGGATAAATTCTGCATCTAACTGGATCAATATTTATTGAATGCTTAATCTGTATAAAGCAATGGGTCAGCCACCATCATTTCAAGAGACCTGCATGCATGAACCAGCCACATATATGCTGCAGAATGAAACAGAGGGAAGACAGAAGTAATTCTCCCTGACACTAGAAATCTGACTAAGCATCCTTTATACCAAGTACTTTATTGCCATTTAACTTGTTTGGTTTGTACTCATGTTTTCTGTAACAGTAAGGATCTGGCAAAGAGAAGTTCTGGCTTTAGTCTTCCATTTGTACATGTAATCCCCAATCCTCCTTAAATTGCATGAGGTACGTTTCATTTTCTTCCAGTAGTTTGTCTGGATCATGTTCTTCATAGAGCCTGGACAAAAGGTCTTCTTCCGTAAGGCTGCCACACTCAGAATGATCACATCCCTGTGAGTCATGTTCAAAGTCAGATAATGAAGGGATACACAGTCTGCCAGTCTGAGGGTCCCAATTGACCAGTGTCGTCAATGGCTGTTCCACAGGCCTCTCCTCGGCATCTGTGAGCTCCTGCATCAAGTAGTCTACGTCTCTGAGCTGGGGAACGTATGAATACAATAACATCTGATGGCCCATGTTTGCCAAAGGTTCCTGTTGCTCAAACAGTTTTACCTGTAGGCACACCTCCTCCTGCAAGTTGAGCTCTTGGTCTTTAAGCTCCACAGAAATGCCAGCGGTTTTCCTATCATACTCATAATCTGTGACAGTTTCATCTGTGGCTCTTGTTCTGCTGAGTGACTCTTGCTGGGTTAGGAAAGAACCATTTCTGTTTTCCTTCAAGTCACAGGAAATTTCCATCACATGTGAGGCATACCCTAAGTGTTCCACCTCATCTTCCTCCTGACGGGGCTCCTGGTCCTCATTGGGCTCAGTATCATTCACATCAGATTCATCACTGCTTTTTTCCATTAAACTTATATCCTTCTGAGAAATTTTAGAATCATCCCCAACACTGAGGGTGATAAAGTTAATCACATTTTTTTCAGCTGGTACAAAGAATCTTTTGTCAAATTCATTTTCATAGATCAAAATCTATAAAGAGAAAAAAGATTGGTTTTCATCTTAGAGAGGCATTAAAAACAGCTGGTAAGTAGAACTTATACTGTCACAAGCTAGTTTTAAAGATCTACTCTTAGCAATTCACGAAAGTTATGCTTGGAATATACAGAAAACCTCACTCAGTGGGAGACAAGAGACACAAGACACACAAAATGCATAACGAAGTGAAAAGTGGTTCAATGGGTGAGTATTTATCTGACTGAGGATCAGGGTTGACCACTGCCGCCTTCTTACTGGCTGAGTGAGTATAGGCAAGTACCTTAGTTGTTCCTTCGGTAAAAAGCAAAATCTATGCCATGTCAGAAGTGGCAAGGACTGAGTGAGACAGTTTGTGAAATTCCTTGGTAATTTATAGTTTACCATGTACCTGTTGCTAAGCTATGGTTACCCGAGCTCCCAGCCCTTTTCTGAGCAGTGGGGACTGTGGATGTGTAATGTGCATGAGCGTGAAACCTGGATGTAAAAAAGGAGATCAACACAGCAGAGGGGATGGTTTTACTTATTCCCCCCGCCCCCACACCATCCTAAACACTCTATAATTAGGCTAAAAAGGGAAATTCATCTGCCAGCTTATGGCAGACAAGAAACTCTAAAGCATGTCAGGGAAGCTGGTTTGAGATGAAAATTTCTGGGGACACATGGAAGGTGCATATTATCTAAGAGAGTGTCAATTATGAGTTATGTTACCATCCTCACTGTCTACTCCACAATGTAATTCCATTTAACATTACAAAATAGGATCGTCAGCTCATTCTTCTGCAGAATTTTTAGTTTCAGAAAGGCACATGTGGGCAATTCTGAGAATATTCCTCCCAGGAAAGATCTTCCTGTGTCATTAAGAAGTAACACTGAAATCTAAATGCAGGCAGAAGAATAGAAAAATTGCACTAACAAATAGAAATGGATGCATTGTGTACACATGAATACATAGTTTAATAATTCCCCCCAAAACTAATTTTTATTATTAAGTTATACTCAGTCTCTTCTAAACCCTTCACTAGATCGTTGGGAAGCACTGAATTCATCCTTCTTGTTGCATCTCCTTGTGGCCCCATGAATTATATATTTATCTCCAGCTCTATATCCCTCTCCCCTCTTTCACACTCCTATCATCTCTCCCCTGGACAACCGCTCCAGTCTCCTAATTGTGTTCCTTGTTTCTGGTGTTACTCCCCCTAATGATATCCTAGCCCTGTTATCCACTTGAATCTAAATTACAATATTGACTATGACACTCCCAACTTAAAATACTACAGTAATTTTTCCTTGCCAACAGAATAAAGCCCAGAGTTCTTAGAAGAAGGCCCAGTCCTCTCGTTACCTGGCCCAAGCCCCCCTCTCCAGCCTTGCATCCACAGCTCCTACTCAGGGACCTCAGGCTCAGCAACGTTATATGGTCTCTCCCATATATCATACTCTTTCATTCTTACTCATCTTAGCCCCTGCTGTTTCTCTTGCCTTAAGTTAAGGCCCCTAATTCTTACTCATCTTTCATAATGAGGCCCTGGCATGAGAATTTCTCCTGATCTCCCATATGTGTTTCAGGATTCTCCCCTACACTCCCCCATGCATGCATGTATCTTAGCCCTTCATATAGTGTAGCATCACATCTAGACTTGATCTTCTAGAAGGGCAGGGACCATGACTTAATTTATCTCACTACATCTACAGCCCCACCATTTGTCTGTCAGTTTGTTGTACTGTGGTGGTTTGGGTTATTGTGAGGCTGGAGGCTATGCCAGCAGTATTTCAAATACCACCAGGGTCACCCATGGTGGACTGGTTTCAGCAGAGCTCCCAGACTAAGACAGACTTGGAAGAAGGAAGGGGCCATCCGCTTCTCAAAGAATTGGCCAGAGAAAACCTTATGAATAGCAATGAAACACTGTCTGATATATTACTGGAAAACTTTGTGAATAGCATTGTCTGATACAGTGTTGGAAGATAAGCCCCTCAGGTCAGAAGGCATTCAAAATATGGCTGGGGAAGAGCTGCCTCCTCAAAGTAGAGTTGATCTTAATGATGTGGATGGAATAAAGTGTTCAGAACCTGAATTTACTGATGGGGCATGACTCAAAATGGGAAGAAACAGCTGTAAACATCCATTAATAATCTGAATGTGGAATGTAGGAAGTATGAATGTAGGGAAACTGGAAGTTGTCAAAAATGAAATGGAACTCTTAGATCAATATCCTAGGAATCAGTGAGCTGAAATGGACTGGTTTTGGCCATTTTGATTCAGACAATCATATAATCTACTATGCTGGCAGTGATAAATTGAAGAGGAATGGCGTGGCATATATTGTCACAAAAAATGTTTCAAGATCTATACTGCAGTACAATGCTGTCAGTGACAAGATAATATCCATACCTTTACAAGGAAGACCAGTTACTACTACTATTATTTAAATTTATGCACCAATCACTAAAGCCAAAGACAAGGAAATTGAAGATTTTTACCAACCTCTGCAATCTGAAATTGACCAAACATGCAATGAAGATGTATTGAGGATTATGAAAAGCTGGAAACAAAGAAGAATCACTGGTAGTTGGAAAATATGGCCTTGGTGATAGAAATGATGCTGGAGATCACATGATAGAATATTGCAAGACCAACAACTTATTCATTACAAATACCTTTTCTCAATACAATAAACAGCAACTATACACACAGACCTTGCCAGATGGAATACACAGAAATCAGATCGACTATATCTGTGGAAAGAGGTGACAGAGAAGCTCAATATCTTCAGCCAAAACAAAGCTAGCAGCTGACTGTGGAACAGATCATCATATGCAACTTGCTTATAGGCAAGTTCAAGCTGAAGCATTAGATAATTAAAACAAGTGCACAAGAGCCAAAATATGACCTTGATTATAACCCACCTGAATTTAGAGACCATCTGAAGAACAGATTTGATGCATTGAACACCAATGACTTAAAACCAGATGAATTGTGGGATGACTTCAAGAACACCATCCATGAAGAAAGCAAAAGGTATTAAAAAGACAGGAAAGGAAGAAAAGACCAAAATGGATGTCAGAAAAGACTCTGTAACTTGCTCTTGAACAGAGAATAGCTAAAGCAAATGGAAGAAATGACAATATAAAAGTGCTGAATGGAAAATTTCAAAGAGTAGCTCGAGAAGACAAAATCAATTATTGTAATGAAATGTGCAAAGACCTGGAGTTAGAAAACCAAAGGGAAGAACACTCTCAGCATTTCTCAAGCTGAAAGAATTAAAGAACAAATTCAAGCCTCGAGTTGCAACAATGAAAGCTTCTATGAGCAAAATATTGAATGATGTAGGAAACATCAAAAGATGGAAGGAATATACAGAGTCACTATACCAAAAAAATTGGTTGATGTTTGTCTCTTTCAGGAGGAGGGATATGATTAAGAACCAATGGTATTTTGAAGGAAGAAGTCCAAGCTGCACTGAGGGGCTTGGCAAAAAACAAGGCTCCAGGAATTGACAGACTACCTATTGAGATGTTTCAACAAATGGATGCTGTGTTGGAGGCACTTACTCATCTATGCCAAGAAATTTGGAAGACAGTTACCTGACTGGAAGAGATCCGCATTTTACCCATTCCAAAGAAAGGTGACCCAAGAGAATGTGGAAATGATTGAACAATATCATTAATATCACATGTAACATTTTGCTGAAGATAATTCAAAAACAGTTGCAGCTGTATATTGACAGGGAAATTCCAGAAATGCAAGCTGGACTCAGAAGAGGACATGGAACAAGGACTATCATCACTGACGTCAGATGGATCGTGGCTGAAAGCAAACAATATCAGAAAGATTTTACTTATGTTTTATTGACTATGCAAAGACATTTGACTGGTTGGATCAAAACAAATTATGGATAACATTGAGAAGAATGGGAATTCCAGAACACTTAATTGTGCTCATGAGGAACCTGTACATAGACCAGAAGGCTGTCATTTGAACAGAGCAAGGGGATACTGTATGGTTTAAAATTAGGAAGGGAGTGTGTCAGGGTTGTATCCTTTCACCATACTTATTCAATCTGTATGTTGAGCAA